ACTGAGACAAACAGGATGGGAGATGGCCGACCAGTTCAAGTGGTCTGCTGACCAGGTCAAAAGGGTCAAGGTGGTCGGCCAATACCTAGGATGAATCCCCAGAAGTTATCTTTCCAATGGCGTAAACCTTGCATTAAAATTCCATCTGTGCAAAAAGTTATGCCTGTTTTGGTGAAACCGCGCAGATTCGGTCCAACCGGATTGATGCCCTAATTCAACCAACCATATCTCCCCCATCCGGACTTGGCTTTAGGAGATTCTTGAGTGAAAAATGAAGCCTCGGAAGTCTTCTTTCCAACGGTGGTGGCCTCATAGCTTAAATCCAAGTGTACAGACAGATATGCCTGATTTAGCGAGGACCGCTCTACTCTCTCTTAGCGATTCATGTCCACCTTCTTCTTCAACTTGGTTTCTTTCCACTTTTCCAATTTTCCTCAACTCCAAACCCCTAAACAAGGTTTTTTGAAAGATTTTTCAAAGATTTCATCTCTCTTTCATTCATTTCCACTTTGTCCTCATTCGATTTACCGAAAAGCGCAACATTTAACGAAATGCGAGCATCGGAACATCGTAGGAACTTTATTTTCAAAACATTTTGAAAGAGAGGGTTTTAAGGTCTAAACACCATTCAAAATAGCTTTGGTCCAAAATGGGGTGTGAGGTTGGGATTTGATTCTCCTCTTGCCGAAGAAATCTGAACCTTTGTCCTGCACAACTTTCTCCACCAAGTAAACCATCAATAGTGCCCAAGTCTTAAAGGCGGTCAAAAATGGGGTGTCTACAGGTAATCACAATGGCGCAATCAATTTCGGGTTCTGTGGCCAATAAGGCCCTCAATTTAATTTTCAAAGCAGATAATCAAACAGATATTCCTACGGTGAACAGATAGAAATTCAAAACCACATATTTTCACACAATGGCACATGAAGTCAAATTAAACACATAATCATGCTCAAATTAAGGACCAATTAACATACTACGGGACAGGTGCATCACACTTACCGTCGTAGATCTGAAACCTTGGCATGTTGAATCTCTTTGGCACCTCAAATGTATCTAACTCCACCGAGAATGGTGTCTTCGACTGGATGTTAGATGTGATCTCAGCTTTGAGTCACTTTCTTTAGAGGTAGATTTTCAGGTCCTCTTTCGTTCTACCAGGAGCTTAGCTATCAATAGACTTCAGTCTCTTTGGCGTGCTACTTCCGGCGTAGTTGTGCATTCTCTTGGACTTCCCTTCATCCACTGTATCAAAACAGAGGTCTTTCCCTTGGATCTGCCGAGATCCCTTGACATAGGTCCCCTTGGTTCGTGGTGTCCTCTACGACTCACCTTACACTGACTCTATTCGCCCGACATCCCATGATGGCCGATGTGAGTCTTCCTATCCCTTGCCATGCTGTGGGACAATTGGGACTGTCCTCTGTCCTCCTTTCTAGGCATCAATTTTGGCTGCTGGTGCTGGTGTGTCCTGCAACGGGAATGATTGTTGCATTACGTTGTTTTGCATCATGAAGTTGACCACTATTTGTAGGTTTGTCAATTTGTTTGCCATGTCCTTCATCTTCTTATCCCTTCTCAGGCATCTATCATTCCATACCTGGAGATTGCTTTCATTGTAATACTCATCTCGGCCTTCCTTCTTTGGGTCATTGCGTCCTTTGTTGTCACGCCTCGTATTTTATTACTCGGATAACATTACCAAAATTCATTAATTAAGTTCATTTACAATAGACAATTCATCCTTGGATGAAATGATGAATAATTAAATATACAAGTTCCCTCTCGTGATACAACAATGACATTTACATACGAATAAAAGAAATGCTCTGAGGCTTACAATAAAAGAGAGGACACTACTCTTTACAAAAAGATAGCACTCAGCCAAACAAACAAATGAAATAGTATAATCCATCACTACATTACGCTTATGAAATGGTAAAACCCATTGTTTGATCTTCAAATTTGAAAAGTATTCCCGGTGCACATGTACAGGCAAGGGGTGAGCAACCACTAGCTCACCAAACAATCTCATATTATAACATTAGAAGATATGCAGGTACAAAGATACTCATACATGTACGTAAAATTATATCATGTCAAAACCATATAATTCTATTACATAATCTCTGAAACTCAATTTATTTAATTAATCATAACTAATTAACTTAAATAAATAAGCATGCCTCAAATGCAACATGACATCCTTTTCAGTTCATTCAATTACTCATTCATCAATTGAATCAAATAATTAAACAATTCATAATGACATTTAACAAAGCATCAAATACATTTTATACAGTCTTATGAGATGAATACATATGCCATGTATTGCTCAAAATATTTTTCTCATCTTTTGAAAATCTTATGCACAATGCCAATTTGAAAACACATTAATCCAACAATTTCAATATAATTCCAAGGTGGTAAATACGACTCAGTAATCCCTAGGCTGGTGTCTACAAGTAGGCATATTGAGCACTACTAAATCCCCACTTTATCGGTCTCTCACCGAAAGGGCAGTGATACCTCCTCCGCGCGTATTTTCGATCTTTCACCATGGATACTCAGGCCAACTTAAACCAATATCAAACTACACCCCCTATCCGGATTTACCGACGTATTTACCCAAAACAAATCCAAATGATCTTGTTTCACAAAAACAATTCATTTCTCAAAACAATAGTTTCCAATTGCAATTTGAAATCCATGATAATACTGAAATGGAATGGCAATGCAATATGTAACAATGTATTAAAATAGTACCAATTTCAATTCTACCACACAATGCTCCATTGTGATCAATTTTCATATCTCTATCAATGTAATACCATGATACAATCCCAAGATATAATATAATAATGTCAATGTTCATGTATTTACCACATGTAAATCAACAACTTCCAACTTAGGCTTTTCAAGACAATTCAACAATATTCTTTATACACAACAAAACTTCCAAAATCAAACATTTTCTTATCTTTCCAAGAATCTCATTTAAATACCAACATGGTAATCCTCTGCCGGTTACCAAAACCAAAACTTCTAAACAATAGATTCATCAATAGCAATAACATATGACACCAAAGCGGGTTCAAGCTTTCATCAATTTCTAACTCACATACTTTATCAATGAAATGCAATTACAATCTTTCTAAAACTTATCCCCATCCCAAATATTAAATAGAATCAAATTCCCATTTTTCTCATGCAAGTGAAATATCGGGATCTTCAAGTTTAATCATAATTCTCACTAAGCATAAGTGAATATTCCAACACTTAATTAATTACATCAAAATCTCCTCTTGACTATAATTATAAAATATAACACGAGTGTTCACTTTCCAATTATCAACATTAACCCCATCAAATTAAACCAAGGGAAAATAAATAAATAAATAAATAAAAGTTTTAATAACTCATTTTTGTTTTAATCCAATTCATCTATTTGCTCCAAACAAGCTAAAATCACATTCTTTTCTTTTCTTTTCTTTTCTTTTCAAAGACTGCCAAAACCGTTCAAATATCTCATAAAAATTTTGAAGTATGAAATTATTATTATAACATTACCCAACTAGTATAACTAGGAACCCAATAACATACCACATCAACTTAATCTCGTTTATTTCTCCAAATCTCGTGCTTCGTCAATTTCGTCACGTTTAATCTCACAATATTAAAGTTATGAATTAAACCCAATAACACCTCTTTAATTACGAAAGATTTAAAACATTAACCAAACTAATTTAATTCATCAAATTAGTAAGTCCATTATTTTCACCATCTTCCAAATTAATAACGCCCAACTTAACCTCACATGTCTCATCTCTCAAATACACCCACATTCATGCATAGCCAATTTTTCCTAAATCTCTACAAATAACAATTTCACAATTTTTTCTAAAATTACCTAATCAACGTGATATTTACCTCAAAAATTATAAAATATGCCAAAAAGTAACATTTTCAAGGTTGTGAGTTCAAAAGTCCACGTTTTACATTTTCATTTTCACAAAAATGAACACAACCTAATCATCAACATATCATTTTGCATAAAATATCATGACTTTAACACTTTTAGAGTTTTTAATCCCAAAACAACTCTATAATCCCAACTCAATAATTTACACAATATTTCTCAATACCAATTTATTTTTCTCAAAAATAAATTCCAAAACTCAAGGATGAGATAAATATTTCAACATTATTTTCTCGAAATAAATTATCTAACCATAATATGAGGTAGATACAACTCATACAACTATAAATTTTATTTTTAGTTTTTTTAACAAAATTATCAACACAAGATGATTTTCCTAAATCAAGTTTCAAATATCAATGTCCTTAAAACTTGCGAAGATCGCGACGAGCTCTTTGACTTTCATTTATAACACTTTTGCAGAATCTCACTCTAAAGACTCCCATTTTAAGCTAGATTGAGCAACAATGGAGGAAGAAAAAGAGAGAGAAACGATCAGAGAGGGAGAAAGAGAGACATTGAGAGAGAGAGAGAGAGAGAGGTGCCTCTGCAAATGCAAGCCAAAAAAAAAAAAAAGGAAAAGAAGGACAAAAGGGAGGCTGCCCTACGTGGGTTGCCTTCCCAAGGGTTAGTTTTTTTAGAAAAAAATATAATTTAATTTTTTATAATAATATCTTTAAATTTTATAATATAAATTATAAAATGATATAATTTTTACCATAAAATATAATGTAAAGACCCAAAAAAAATAATAAAATAAAATAAAAAAATGTGGTGGTGATTGTTTGGCGTGTATGGTCAGCATGAGGATAATGTTTTTGGGGTGGTGGAAAATTATTTGAGAGGGAGGCTAAGAAAAATTTGAGTGGGAAGGGTTTTTATAATATCTCTCTCTCTCTCTCTCTCTCACACTGGGATTCAACTTTCTTTTCTTTTCTTTTTTCTAATCAGGATCCAAATTCAACGGATTTGCAGGGATTTGGATTTTAAAAAGAGATTGTAGAGAAAAGGTGCTATAGATATGGCAATGGCTGTTGCTCTTTCATCTTCATCTTCAGTTCTTTTATTTTCCTCATCCACAACTTGGAGAGGCCTAGTTGGACCCGAAATATCCAAACAACTCCTAAATCTCAGCGGAATTGCGACGGTGCGTCCTGGTGGTCGTGGTTGGGGGTCCCACAAAGTCACCGAAATTTCTGCTTCGATATCATCTAAGCCCAAGGAAGAGCTACGCACCAGGCCCGATGAGCTAGTCAACTCCATTCTTTCCATGGTTACACAAATAGATAGAAGAGTTTTGCTGACAAGGGATGAACACAACAAGGTAGCTGAAGTGGCCCAAGAATTGGGAAGATTTTGTGTTGATGAGCCTGTAAAATGCCCTCTTATATTTGGAGAGTGGGATGTGGTGTATTGTTCTGTGTCTACATCACCTGGAAGTGGATACAGGAGTGCATTCGGCCGTCTTGTTTTCAAAACAAAAGAAATGATTCAGTTTGTTGAAGCTCCTGACACTGTGAGGAACAGAGTATCCTTTTCTGCTTTCGGGTTCCTTGATGGAGAGGTCTCTTTGGATGGAAAATTGAAGGCTCTAGATGGAAGTGCTGACGTTGCTACCGTAGCTACAGTCGTTGGAGGGCTGCTTCTCAATCTCAATCTATGTGCTGAGGTTCTGCTATGATCTGGGCAGTTTAAAGGACAAGTTAGGTTTAGGTTTTAGACCCTAGTTCCATAGATCAAATTGTAGAGGGTTTCGAGGGCTCTGATTTAATTTGAACGAATTGAAATTTTGTCGCCGAAAATTTTTATTTTCTCGGAAGCTCTTGGACCGAGGTAGGGATTTTTCCTATACTTCTTTATGCACTTTTACTTGATTATATGGAGTTTAGAGTTGTGTATAATTTAATTATAATTTTTGAAAAAAATTGTGATTTATTTGCTTAAAAGGAAAATTTGAGGAGTTGATGCCCAAATTGCGAAAATGTAAACTTGGAATATGTTTGTAAGGTTATGAAAGAGTTATGTTTTAAATTTGAACAAAAACAAACTTCGACTCGATTGGTTTTGAAATTTTTACCGGTTTGTGACCAAAAGAGCATTTTTAAAGAAAACAAAGGAACTACATTTAATTTTGGGGGCTTTTGATAAAATAGGATGTCATAATTGAATAATGCTTGGAGAATGAGTTTGGAAAAAAAATGATATTTTCTTGGGCATTAACGATATTATTTTGTTTAATGTATCTGTTGTAATAAAACCGACACGGTTAGAAATGGACCTTGAGAGGTTACCGAACATGATTGTGATATGAAAACTAGTGTAGTTGTTCATATTTGATGAGATGTGGAATAGGTTGTATTTGACGAAATTTTTTTGGAATTTAATTGTTTAAATATCCATTTAGAAATATCTGTTTTCGGCTATCGGTGGAGGATAGCCATGATTGTTGTAAAAATGCATGAGACTTAGGTAAATTGAACAACATTCTTCATTTGTTGCATTGGACATTGCATTATATTCATTTCTTTGGAAATGTATTTGTTTGCGAAAAGATGAATACTTGGTGAATCTGGGTATGAGGTGTTGAACTGCACGGTTAGGTGTCGAGCCTTCCAGTTTACTGGTAAAAATGACAGTGGTAGTGCATTAGGGCCTACTTGTAGACACTCACCTAGAGATTCACAGGGCCCGTATTCATGTAATAGATATGGTTTAAAATGGAAATGGTTTTATATTTGTTGTTGCATCTCAGCATTTCATGCTTTATAAAAAGAGAGATAAACTGTTTTATCATGAGCATGGCATGAGCATACTCCTCTTTAGTCTTGTCATTGTTCATATGTTGTGTAGTATATCTCTACTGGGCTGTGGCTCACCTTATAAGGGAAATCATTTCAGGTACAGGTGCTATACCTCCACCAAGGCATTGACTTGGGAGGACTCAGAGTTGAGGCTTCATTTTTGTTGTATTGTTATTTGTTTAATGTAAGCCCAGGGTTGTATTTGTGTTGAGTTGAAACTCCATTTTGTGTAACCAAGAATGTTCTTGGATAAATTTGTAAGCCTGTAGGGCACTTATTATCTGTTTGGCTTCTATTTCATACTTGTTGTAAAATGCATGTTTGGGATTAAAACTAGGGCATTGAGATGTGAACAACATGTATTTGGCATTTGGGATTTAATGGAAATGGGTGTATGGATTAGTTAGCTATATATATGTGTTTGTCTATCAGGTGGGTTTTATTGCATAAATAGATATATCCTGCCCAATCTTTGGGGCGTTACATATAACATTTTTGTACATCACAAAATATAATATTTTGCTCATCACGAAATATACACCCATTTTATTCACTATAAAAATATATAATTTTTCACCATATGGTACACACCATAAAATCAATTATTAAATATTTATTATAATCCTATATAATAAATAATAACAACTCCCAAAGTGGTTATTATCAATCACATAATCAAAAAGAACCAAACAGTTAAACATGAATAATTAAACAAACTCAAATTAAATTAAATCTAAATCATGGGTCTCACCCATAAGTCAAACATGGTCCAATTATATATCAAAATAGACCCAACAAATTTGTCTCAAATCATGGTCCAAACACCCAAAACTCAAATTTCAAATTCTGCTATAAATTAAACTGAACACCAATCAGTCTGCAAATTCACATAAAATAAATGCACATCATTAAATTCCAAAATTTTTATCCAACATGCTAGACTCTTATAAGAACAACATAATAAAATTTTCATAATTTCTAAGATCGAAAATTATATTTAAAAAAAAATTATTAAAAAATTGAACTATTTTCGCACATAACTTTTCACAACACTCCAATCTAATTATTACTCAATTAATTTATGCACTGACTATTTAAAAAAAATATTTTGGATTATCACATTTGCCGACATCATTCACCCTAGGATTTGGTTCCTACGCTCATTCATTTTCGTTCTTTCCTCTGGCGTTAGGATCCACATGTTTCTTCTCCTCACTGTGGATGTCATCCCCAATTTTCTCTTCCTCTCTGTTGTTGGCCATCTATCCTACCCCCCACCCCCCCCCCCCATACTAAGTTCCCATAGATGGACCTAGAGGGTTCAACAAGGGGCAGTTTTAGATTTCGAAAAACCGGCATCCATGCAATCGCATGCCTCACCGATCGTATCATTTTTACATGAATCGGGATAGCTCATGATCATGAATTCGGAATTCTTCGCGAACTCAAGACCACCTCTATCAGAGAGAAAAGACTTCAATTTTGATCACCTCCAAGCGATTGATGACGTCCTTATAAACGTCCAAACAGGGAACTTAGCAGGAGAGAACCGACAAAATAGATTGAGCCAACTACCTGCAACAAGAAGATGAGGAATACTGTGGTGGTTTGTCCACCTGGGGCACTCCGACGATTAAGTCAGTAAACCGTATCTCTCACAAATATCAAAACAAGTACTTAAACTTACAAATCAAAACTTACCTCAGACCCATAAGGGTGCCTCAGTTTTATAATCAGTAGTGACCTGGTCCCTTAGTAGCCTTACTCCATTGGACTCAAGCTTAATGCTCATTCTGGACTCTCGACTAGATCTCCTCATGAGCCTTATCCTTATCTAGATTGAAAGCCACCTCTGTTCTAGGACCTTGTCTCTTATCCAGATACCTCGGGATTCCAACATTACCGCAAAAACATCACGACAATGCCGTGGTTACCTCGGCAACATGACTCATCCACGTGGCACCTTAGCCAATATCTCGGAGCGTATCTTGGTCACATGGCATCATTCGCAAATACTTTCCCACACTTATTATTATTATTATTACATATATAAATATTATTTTATTTGTTTTTGCTTTACAGAACCTGTCTATAAATTGAGGCCACAGCCTCAAAGAGGCGGAGCAGAAGAGCTAAGAGGGGAGCTCCAAGAAGAGAGGAAGAGTGGAGATGTTTCAGTGTTGTGGAGTGGTAGTTTTATACTGACGTGGAATTAAAATTTTTTATTTTTATTTTTAGGATTGAGATGAAATTCTAATTAAATAATTAAAATAATTAATTTTTAATTTTATAAAATTTTAATTGATTTGGATACTGTTATATAATTTTATATTTTTATGTAAATAATATTTTTATCAAATTATGTGTTCACTAGTTATGAATACATGTTATATAATTGTTTTCAATACTTGCGTGTTAAAACTATTAGACGAGTCATATCTAGTTAGACAGATTATGCATCAACCGTAGTTTAATGGCAGTTTAGTGGTGATGATCAGTGCTAAACTAAGATAATTCATGGCTTTCTGGTTTTAAAACACAAATATTTTTAAATGGTGTACTCGACCAAGGTACATCTTAGTATCTAATTCAATGATTTTTTACAATTTAAATATAATGACTCCCAATTATAAGATTAGTAGTGGATTCAAAATCTTAAGAATTTTCTCATTTTATTGCACATCATTTCATGTTCAAGCCACAAACAAATTAGTCTCTAAATTATAAGCAACTTGTTATAATCTTTGTGGTTCGACATCCATTCTCAACCGCTATATTTTAGAGTAGTGGTTATTACTCAGTTTTTAATTAGTATATTTTGATATGCAAACGACCTACCAGCCTAATTATAACTCAATTGTAACTTTTGAATGCATTTTGGATATTTACTCAACAAAAAACCATGTGATAACTTATTTAACCATACAGGTTCCTTTTTTTTTTTTAACTAATTATAAAAAAAAATGCATCAAATAGAATTATAATTTATTTAAATCTTTTAAACTAATAATCCATAAAACTATAATTATAAAAGTTAATTTATAAAGTGATACCAAACGGACATTGTATATTAGGCAAACTATTAAGCAGATTCTTTGGAAAGAAACATAATTAAGCATTGGATTTGCTATAACTTGAAATTGTTTACATGCAACATAAGCTTATACAATTCAAGGTAAACAACAAATGCAGCTCCAACTTCAAAATATCGAAAGAGATTTTTTTTTTCTTCTTTTTTTTTTTTTTTGTTTGAAGAAGAAGAAGAAGAAGAAGAAGAATTGGGCTATAAATCTCATTTCTTAATTTGGTGACGGTTCCTTTAATTTAATGATATAAAAGACTACTAATTCATCAATAGCAGTATATCAACATTCACTTTAATCCATCATCTGTTGAAGATTTTCCATCAAATATCCTCTGCCTTGCTTGAGTTGCCTGCAACATGAAAAATTTCTCCAATGAAATCCTACTAAAATGGATGAAGAAGCAAAAACACATTCAAATCGAATTCCGATCCTCTTCATCACATAATCAACAATTGTGCAAAAAACAATTTCAGCAAATTAATATTTTAAACTTAAAACAACTAAATATATATATATATATATTAAAACTCATGATTATTTAAAAAATCGTGAATTTTGAATTTGGTTATATCTGCAACCACGTGTAAAATGAAGATTTCCATTTTGAACTAGTAATGAAATGGATCTTGATCCTCCAACCAAGATCATATAAAAGATGCTATGCTCAAAAGCACAAACACTTCTAAAAAGAGTAATGTTAGAGATCTTAAAAATTCTATCATATGTCTTACATTTTTGCTTCTAAAAATGTGCTAGGTATTGACACTTATTGAATACTTTTCAAGACATTTCAGACACATGTCCACACGTAGGGATGGCCATTTTCTCTCGCTCCGCTCTGCCCCTGCATCCCTCCTCTGTACACGGATTTTATAGCGATCCCGGGTTTACCCTTGTTATACCGTGATCCGGACATGTGTCCGTGGATGTTGGTAGTTGTTTATTATCTTGTTTACATATATTTATATGTTTATTATATATGTCATTTAATTTTCTTTTTGTATATGATAAAATTAAAACTCAAAATATTACACCTAGTTTTCATTTTCAATCATTTTTTTCTCATCTTACATCTTGTGACTTTCATTATTATAAATCACTACCTATAACATATTATATTATTTAAAAAAATTATTAATATTTCTATTTTTTAAGTTATGAAATTAATCTACTCTCATCCCATTCCCGCCCTACCCCCATTACCAACCCGATTTGGCCCGCCCCTGGTACAATATAGACAAGGGAGGGAGACGACAAACCCGTCCCGTGGCCATCTCTATCCACATGTGCTTTATTATTATTATTGTCCCAAACACACTTTGGTTAGTGTACACGTGTGCATCACTTACACACGCACCAAATATATTATAAATTTAAAGAAAATAACTTAAGATCAATAGTAAAAGAAAAACAAAATAAGTTCATACTTATTTTCCCTCCTTTATACTTTAAAAATTAGTCCTGTTTTGTATTTTTGTATTAAGTTTAAATGAATTTTTCATATAAATGGCGTAAATAAACACAAAAAGTTATACATTTTGTGTGTGTCCCTGATATGTTTTGTCCTTTTTCTTTTCTTTTGTCAATGTATTCTCATGAGTAAAAGAAAAACAAAATAAGTTCATACTTATTAATCCCTCCTTTATACTTTAAAAATTAGTCCTATTTTGTATTTTTGTATTATGTTTAAATGAATTTTTCATATAAATGGCGTAAATAAACACAAAAAGTTATACATTTTAAATGAATTTTTCATATAAATGGCGTAAATAAACACAAAAAGTTATACATTTTGTGTGTGTCCCTGATATGTTTTGTCCTTTTTCTTTTCTTTTGTCAATGTATTCTCATGTCCCGTGTCTAAGTTTTTGAGTTGTTACTGTTATGGGTTTTGGGTCCAATCCTCCCATCCAATTCACAATAGCTACTGTGCTAAAAGAAAAGAGGAAAGGGAAAGAAAATTTGAAACTCTGCAAATAGAAATTAAATTTTAACACCCCAAATTTTCTATCATCATTTCCTCAATTTTCCTTTCAATGGTGTGACAGATTCAAATGGATTTTCAGGTTAGAGCAAATAAAAAGCTTGAAGAGGTAAAAAGTGAGAAAAATTTGACCTGTTTATCCCAATTTGTACTTCTTGTTATTATAGCAAGCATGATTGTTTGAACAAAAGCACCAGCTTGTATTCCAATCCACAAGCCTTTTCCTCTTAATTGTACCCAAAAAGCCAATATGGCAGCAATAGGAATTCCACAAAGATAGAATGCCCCAAGGTTGGCGTATGCCCCTATATGTTGCCACCCACATCCCCTAGCAACACCTGCTTAAAAAATATTTTAAAAAAATAACAATTAGAAATGAACCGAGCTATTTACAAGCTTGGTTCAACTATGCTCAATTTGTTAAGTAAATAAATGAGTTTGAGACAAACTTTTAGGCTTGTTTAATAAATGACCCGAGCTTGAGTTCGAATAAGCTCAGCTTGTTTATTGCTCCTTTCGTCCCAAATTGTTTGTTCGGCAAATAAAATTAGAACTTATAAATAATGTATTCTTGTATCGAAAGTTTTAAATTTTTTTCACTAATTGAAAGATCTCATTTAGTACTTCTAATTTGTGGAAAAAAAAACTAACAAAAATATATTATTTTTAAGTTTTTTTTTTTTGTGCCGAACAAATAATTTGGGATGGAAATAGTATTTATTTAAATATAAAAAAATATAAAAAATGATGTCAATAGTAGGCAAAAAAAATTATTATTATTGAGCTTTGAGCTGAGCTCGAGCTCGATGAATTTTTTGAGTTGAACATTCGAGCTTGATAAAGAAATGCAATCGAGAGGCTCGACTCAGCTCTTTTGTACTCTTAAATATGACATGATTTCATTTTTCAAAATTGCAAATATATACCAAACATTGATAGGGGGAAAAAATGTAACCTGAGAGGACTCCTTGTATGCTATCCATGATAACCGATAAGCAAACCAGAGGAGCCATGGCCGTGACATAATCCACGACTTCTTTCTCGTTGCTAAAGGTGTAGCCAAAGATGCGCCTACAGGCAAACAGGGTTGCACTCACTACTGTAGTCTCTGCGACGGCAAGTAACATCACGGCAAATACAGCTACACGAGCCCCTTGTGGATTCCCAGCTCCCAATTCATTTGAAACTCTAGTGCTAAAAAAATCAAAGAAATAAAGAGCAGTTACATAGACATCTATGAAACACCAACACTTCAAAATAAGTGTCGTATCCATGTCGGACACTTGGACACTTTGGGGACATGCGTACACGTCGAGGACAAGTATGGGACATGCCACATGGCGTATCCTTTTATTTAATTAATTTATTTTTAAGAGACACGCTAGAAACACTTTGAGGACACAATATTGTCTTTTTTCCAATTTTCTTTAGTATTTTTTATGAATATTGAATATTTATTATTTTTTTTCTTAGATTTAAATAATTAATAAATCATTCATAATAAAATATATAAACTATAAGTGTTAATTTATTTATTTTTAAAAATAAATAAATTAACACTTATAATTTTGGAGTTGTTATACCAAACTCAATATCACAATTCCGTAACATTGGAGACCCACACTTTTAAATTCACAAATTCATTCACAATGATATGATAAAGAGAGTTGAGCCCTACATCATCAGTTTTGCAATAAATCACAAGTTGACACGTATCATATACCACATCATTACGGATATAATTGTGTGAAATTTTTTGAGACTCTCAAACATTTTTCTTCCTATTTATATTTTTGAATATTGAGAAATGTTGACGATATAAATAATAAACTTTGTCATTCTCTTTAACAGTTTAATCTTTTAGTTGAACTAGTATTGTGATAAAGAACATACCACACAGACAATACAGAAGTTTCAAGCTGTGGATTTGGTAAAAGCCCAGAAAGCAAGATAAGCAGCTCGAATGACCACCATGCAAGACTGCATTCATCACCATTTAGGAAAGGAAAAACCTCATAACTCTGTTTAACAAATTCACAAAAACAAATAAGTTAAATAATTGAAAAAATAAATAAAATAAAATTACCAAATCATAACAGCGGAGGGAATGGCAAAACTGAAGAACTCGCCAACTCCCCGTAACACCTCCATGGAAATTGGGACCCGAGTTTTTTCACAAGAAGAAGAGTACTTCATGTACAGTACGAGGAAGATCACATTCAACCAAATCGAAATATCAATTGCTAATGCACCTCCAAGGTTATCCAATCCCGACTTAAACACTAGAACCCAATAAAGAGGTATGAGGAAAGCAAGAGTAACACATGAGCTTATAAGCATGGGAAGTGTCAAACTTTGCATTTGGAAGTATCGAACAAGCGGTTGAAGAATCGCATAAGCAAATAGGGCGGGAACAAGCCAAGTTATGAATTTACCGACTTCATGTGAAATTAAAGGGTCTTGGCCTATGAAAATGAGTATTTTTCCCATAAAAATCCATAATATGGAGAGAGGAAGACAAAATATGACTAGGGAAAAAATAGCAGTGTAAGTTTGAGTTCCCAGTTTTTGGTATTGTTGAGCTCCATATGCCTGCCCACATAGAGTTTCCAAAGCACAAGCCATCCCTAACTGTAAGACAAATTGAAAATCTAGTTACTTAGTTACAATATCAATTCAAGATTAAGGCTTTGTTTGGCATGTGCCAAAATAGCACATTATCCTATTTAGATCACAATCATTTTATTTGAGTTATATCACCTCTCTACCACATCACTTCAAACTCAACTCATATTTTACGTTTTTTTATAAAAAAAAATCAAAAAGTATACTAATCTAGCACATTCCAAACAATCCCCAAATCTCTATTAGGTTACTCAATTTGAATCATTTGTTTCTTTTCTTGTCATATCCATATAAATACGTTGTATATGTTTGTATATTTTTGTGGTCGTTCTAAGGACTAGTCTAGAGGTCTAAGTATTCAATAGTTGCAGATGAGACAGTTATTTACCAGGTGTAATATTTAAGTTTGAATCTCATTGTTGCACGAAGTAACAATTTTTCCTTACTCTATTTTTCTCGTACCAATTGTAAAAATAAAAAATGGACTAATAACCATCTAAAGAAATCTTCAGTCATGTAAAATGAAGTTGGCCCATGACATTTTCAATATAGAATAAGGAGTTCACAAACATCTTTTATGAACATCATAACCAGGGCCAGCAATCACTAACAACGTTTTCCTAGCTTTTACTATGGCAACAAATTATTGTATGTGTGAAAATATCAAGTAACAATTAATTACGTGTGTGTTGTATGTCAAGTAATTTTAAATTGACTAAAAAACTGAAAATATTTCAAAAATTATATACAACCAATGTAAGATAAGTATTTTGAAGTCTTGTTTGTTTGTCAAAATGGGAGTAGGAGAGGTAATAATGTGGAATTCACTTGTTTTCTTGTATGGTATATAATATTTGATTATTGTGGGGACATAATTTTTGAATGACAACACGTGGCCGAGGTGTCACCGAAGTGCCAGCCGAGGTGCCACGTGTCCTGGTCATGATGTTGAGATGATCTCGGCTAGGCCGAGGTTATCTGCGAGAATACCAGAATCCGGGATAAGCGGATAAGAGACAAGAGTCCTAGAATGAGAGAAGATTTCAATTTGGGTAAAGATAAGACTCTTAGAGAGTTTATCCTAATCCTACTAGGAGTCCAAGATTAGCAGTAATCCTAAGTCCATTAGAGCTAGGCTTCTATTGGGACTAGGATTGTGTTGGCTATAAAAGAGAGGCACCCCCATGGGTCTAAGGTATGTTTTTTATGCTCTGTCTAGTGAGTTAAGCACTATTGGTTATCTTTGAGAGATATTTTACTGACTTGATCATCGGAGTGCCCCCGGGTGGACGAGCCATCGCCAGAATCTCTTCTTTTTGTGACAGGTCGTTCGGGCTTAATCTATTCTGCTAGTGTTCTCCAGCTGAGTGCTTGATTGGCAGTGTGGTCCGAAATTGACCCATACAATTTGGCACCGTCTATGGGAACGAAAAAAGAATAGATGGCCAACGGCAAACAGAAAGAGAAGGTTGGGGACGACACTCCTAATGGGAGTGGGAAACCTGTAGACCTTGACGTCGAAGAAGACAACTACAACGAAGAGACTCATGATAAGAATTACGAAGGAAAGGATGTCAGCCAGGAGAGCGACGTACCAAAGAAAACGGACCAGAGCGGATATTACAACGAGGACGACCTTCAGGTATAGAAAGAAAGATGTCTACGGAGGGACGATGAGGTAAAGGCCATGGTGAACAAATTGGCAGACCTACAAACAGTGGTCAATTTCATGATGCAGAATAATGTCATGCAGCCACCGTTCCCACTACAAGATACGTCGATTCCAGCGACAAAGGAGGATGCCCGAAAAGAGCGACAGAAAACAGTCCCTACAGTCCCCCAGCACACCAGGACTGAAAAACACTGTCACCGGCCTTCAAGGGAGGTCGGGTGAGAAGAGTCAAGAAGGGAAGAATCGAGGAGGACGCATCGCACCAAGGAAGCCGACCCTAAAGAACATCGGCATGTTCAAGGGCAGGAGTTGTTCTTCGACGCAACCAATGGAGAGAAGTCCAAAAGGACCCATAATGAAACTGGGAGTAGTGCACCGAAAAGGCTGAAGTCAGGAGATAGTCGAGCTTCTGGACAGACCAAATAAAATCTAGGGGATCACCTACAGAAGAAGCAACAAGATGCCGAGGTAATCTCCCCGGAAATTCGAAGCCCCGAAGAGGTTTAGCATGCCGAGATTCTAGATCTACGATGGTAAGTCGGACCCTAACTTTCACGTCGGCTTGTACCTGAACTCGATGGCGTTGTACACCGGGAACGAGCCGTTACTCTGCAAGATGTTCCCCTCATCCTTCGGAGAAATTGTATCGGAGTAGTTTCACAAGTTGCCGAAAGGAATTGTGAAAACCTGGGAAGGCCTGACCGAGATGTTTGTGGCCAGGTTTGTGACAAACAAGCTACAGCCATTGAGGGTGGGCGCCCTTATGGCCCTGAAGATCGGCGAGGATGAAACCCTTAGGGCCTATGCCACAAGGTATTATGAGGTATTCAACCGAATACCAGGATGCAACCAAGAGGTGGCGGTCGTGTCATTTAAAAACGGCTTGAAGGATGACTGCCTGCTTCGAAAATCACTGGCAAAGACATTGTCGAAAAGCATGGAGGAGCTGATAGCCAGGATAGAAAAGCATGCCAGAGCCGATGAGGACACGCCGGGGACAAAGGAATCCAAACAAGAGAAGAGAAATGGTTTGCCGAAGCGAAGACAAGATAACGCTGGATACAAGATGACAAGAGCTCAGCCCAAGTGAGCAAATCCTAGATCCCAGAAGACAAGATCTCGGCCTAGATGATTAAGTCCGAGGAGAGAAGAGCTTGGCCTAAGTTAAAGAATTTTTATATATCGTCCGCAAAGGAGTATGTGGAAGCCATGCAGGGGGCAGATCCCTTACCCATAGAGCAATATCTTAGGGATTCTTTTGGCCTTACAAGCAAAAGGAAGCTGAAAAAAAAGCATGAAAATGCTTTGAAATCCACCTGCAACGTGCGATAGAACAGCAATTCGGCTGGGGGCATACCAGCAACAACTTGCTTGGGCTTACAACAAGAAGGTCAGCCCAAGAGAGTTGAAAGTTAGGGATCACAGCCTGAGAAAGGTTGCCGGCAATGAGGCATAATGGCTGAAGCAATAATGAAATGCTAGTTTGATTTTTGAAATCTGTGCGATAGGACCGACCAATGACCATGTTTCTAATTGAAACATGACGAATAACTTAAACTTATTATATGACAGAGTAGAAACTTTACTTGCATATAATAGATATAGCGATCCCGGGTTTACCCTTGTTGTACGGTGATCCGGACATGTGTCCGTGGATGTTGGTAGTTGATTATTATCGTGTTTACATTCCTTTTTCTTCATATTTGAGTTATAGGATGTGTTAGGCAGGTTTGTTACAGGTTTGGTGAGTTTTGAAACAAATGGTTGCTGCCCAGATTTTGGTGTCTTCGCTCGAGCGAGGACTTTGTCGCTCGAGCGAGCTCTTTATTTTAGATCCTTCGCTCAAGCCAGGTTTCCTTCGCTCGAGCGAGAGTTGGTTGATGTGTCTGGTGGCTCGAGCGAGAAGTCCTTCGCTCGAGCGTGCATCTGCGTCTGGGTTTGGACCTGAGAGTTACATTTCTTGGCTCGAGCGAGCTTTCCTTCGCTCGAGTGAGCGAGGTGTATGTTTTGAGTTTCTTCGCTTGAGCGAGCATTCTGTCGCTCGAGCGTGCTTCTAGGTTGCAGACCTGAAGCTTCGCATTCTTGGCTCGAGCGAGGCTTCCTACGCTCGAGCGAGAGTTCCTTGTGTCTGGTCGCTCGAGCGACCAATCCTTCACTCAAGCGAACAATATGAACTGCCAGAAGTTCAGACCAGGTAAGGTGGACTGCGTGAGCGACCACTCTTGCGCTCGAGCCAGACCTGCAAAAGTACTGGGAGCTTTGCGAGACAGCTTGAGCAACCAATCCATAGCTCGAGCGATGGGAAAAGGAAAAGTAAATTTCTGGAGTGCTACAATCTCCTCACCTTAAGAAATTTTGTCCTCGAAATTAGGGAAGAATTGGAATGAAAGGCAATCCAATATGGATAGAAACACAACCCCTAACTTAACACACTTAGGATATATTCCCAAAATGAAGTAAGAGTCGAAACAAAAACTACTCAATTCTAGGGATAAGACACCACCACAAACCAAAAGCTAGACTCATACTCAAGATAAGTTCCCAAATTCTGGTTTAGTACATTGGTGCTCCAAAGACACCCGAACAAGAAGGATTACAAAGAAGAGATTACAAATAAACTTTCGACCTACATACGCATCAAGGTCTAAGATACAAGGGACAACATCAACCACTCGTACCCCCAAGGGCGACAATAACTTTCTAATCGGCAACAAAGCACACAATGACCACTGAATGATCGAAACCCAATTTTGAAGGGAAAAGAAACTAGCATTAAACCAAACCCTGGCCGACACTAGAAAAAACAAATGATACACTACAATACACGGCCCAATACAACAATCCCAGATAGCATCACACTTAGCATCATTACCAATTCGTTATACAACCCGGCATTTAAAGGCAAAACAGTGAAAATCATTCATGAGTATATGTGTAGTTTTCTTTCTCAAAAGGTATTCCAACTTATATCATTTACCATCAAAACATATTGCAGTCCATAATTTTCTGAAATATTATTTTTCCTCGAAATTGAAAGTGTTATTTAGAATACTAAATCAATTACATCCTCATGACTTGTCCATATTTAGTTTCCATTCAATCAACAAGCTATTCATTAACACAACTTAGATTAAATCTTTAGCATTTAGTTTAACCGTGCCATTCTAGGCCACAATACAAGGAAAAGAAAATTTCATTTACCAAATTATCCTCAACATTTACCCAGTGAATTCCAACCTTCACCCAATAACCTCCATCACCCATCTGATGACATCATAACACATTTACCATCCATATTTGTAATAACAATGAATAGAAACAATCATGGTGCATCGAAGAAGTAATACAACACATACGACTTCCCAAAAAATTGGAAGTTCCTAACCATTATAAACATCCACACAGATAATCAATGATATACATTGGCACAAGTGCGGTTGTAAAAATTGAGATTCTAACACGTTATCCTAACTCGAGAAATTCCGCAATTTCACACCAATAACATACATACACAAGCAAAGCCCAACATTCTCATTAATTATCGAACCAAAACAATTCCTAAGATGGCTAGGTGTCAATTAGCTTCAAATAAAACTCATTGAAATCACCATTTTCAAACCAAACTGAAACAGACCAAACTAAATCAAACCAATCCTTAAGTCCCGTTAAAAGGGGTTGACTACAAGAATCTGTCTTTTCTACACGACTTAATCCAACTCACCAATTCTCTACTCTCATAACTTAAAAATCAATAGACTAACTAACACCAATCACCCTTATCTGGGGTTCAACATACACCAACGTCACACCTGTGTCTGAGCTGGACTTCTAAAGCCAAATCTCACAATTCATAATCATCGTCGTCACTTATCATTCACACAAGGCACAAAGCACAAGCACAAATAACTCCAGGAATTTTACAATATTTCACTCATGACTCGAGGAGTTTCCACCAACTCGAGACAAGCTTCACTCGAGCCTTACCACTACATGTAGTAGACTCAACACTCACAAAACCCTTGCAAGACATTTCTCAAACTTGCCACCTCACTTATATCCAATCATTCCGTAGTGACTATTTGTCACCTAAACCCTAATATTGACCAATCGGTTTACTACTCAATATAACTTTTATTTCGACACTCAAACATCCACAGGTTGCCCCTAACCCTTTACTCCGAAATAGATTTCTACACATCACTCCCCACACTTCTAGAATCTCACTGGGTTCCTCAAATATATATATATCGCGCAAGTGCTATTTCCAATAATCCCATCACTCTTATGCCTATAAGATAACACCCTTCCCTTCTTGCATGAAACAAGACCTATAAAGTCAATGGCACTCCATCTATTTCAAACCACATAGACAATCGTCGTCTGCACTATACCCATTACAAGCAAATAAAACCCGTATTTCCTCCCAAGAACCACTTTTAGCATCTGTAGACGCGCCCGAACGTCCCAAGAAAATCCCGTTTCGTTCATTGAGCTTACTACAGTTCAGACTCAATGTCACGATTTTTAATCTGATCTCGCAAA